CATCTCGTGGGGACTCTGGGTACACGGCAGGGTAATAGAAACCCTGTGTGAGATCCAGAGGAGCGTGGCGGCCTGATCCACCGCCCACCTCTTCCCGTCTTCGAGCGCGACTAATATAAGACGTATTTACGATTTCTACATTGGTGGCCTGTTCACCCAGAGCATCCGGAGCTCTGCACCGTGGAGCCTAGCAACCTCCACGAGACCGTCTGTGTTGTTTGTCTGTAACTGCAACTTAATCAAGCTTTCCAGCCTACACCATTGCCATCTCGGTGTAAGTAAACAATCTTTTAAACTACCGATACGCGTCCGTGCCTAATTCCAGAGCGAAGGCCTTCCCTCTCCGCCCCCGCGTGCCCGGGCTGCTAGCCACAGCCCGCGTGCAGCGCGAAAAAGGGCTCGGGGCGCTCCCGGCCCGCACAGTTCCTTCTGTTGTGTCCACACCAATAGTGAAACAGCAGGGCTATTATGTAGACTAAGCCTATGCTACTACAGGTTTGCTGGTATAGCTCTGCTGGCAAACCCTCCTAGAATAGATATAGCTTATACCAGCAAAGCCAGCTTAAGCTAATTCCTTTAACAGAATTAGCTAATGTCAGGTCTACCCAGAAACTCTTATCTTTTAGCCTAGATCATAAATTCTAAACTCTATTTTAATTTGAAATATCTGGAATTAACATAGTAGTGGTGACCATTAAACTGGATTTACCTGCTCCTGGCTGCTTCAAGAAAAGAAGAGAAGACTGAGTTGAGACGGGAGGAAATAACAATGTGAGAATTTAGCTGAGGACAAACATGGTTTGTAATCCCTCCCTCTCTAATTAAGCTCAGGTAAAATGATGAATGGGGTGGGAGGGCGAGGGGGGTCTGTTCTTGGTTACCACAACTTCATGCTTCGCAGGAGACAAGGAAGCACAGATTTCCTCATAAAATAGGAATGGCAAATTTACTTACCAGTTTTTCAAAATTAACAAGGTTATCCAGAAAAGTTTTATTTCCTTCATGGATGAATGTTACATCTAAAAATGAGAAAAAAAAAGATATTTATTTGCTATTTTTGGTGGATTTGTTCAGTTTTTTACATATAAAAAATAAATTGTTGACAAAACAATAATAAAATAAAAATGGAACAAAACTGTCCTGTAAGCATGTGAAACTATATCATCTTTTTTTACTGAAAGGAAACAGAACGCTAGCACCAGTTGTTTTCATGAGAAACAGAACATTTATTCTATATAGCAACATTGTCGATACATTTGATCAAGAGGAATTTCAAGTATGGAATGTAAATTTGTTTCTCACTAAACCTAATTTCTGTGATTTTCATATGACTTTCTTTCTATCAAACGTACCAGAGGACTGTACATATCAAATGTAGTTTGCTAGGGAGGGGAGCATAGTAGTTGTATATGTGCAAGTTTCATGCACTGTGAACATTATGGATTTACTGGTGCTGCTAGTGGAGTCAGTGGTAGGAACCAGGGCTGTGGCTTGAGATCCATAAGTATAGAGCTCTGTTGGCGGGACTCTACGTCCCGAGGGAGAAGTGACAAAAAAAATCTGCTGAGTTCAAAACTTCACCTTGGCAGAGGCACCAAGATTGATCTCTGTAGACTCTTGGCACCAAGTTTTTCCCCGTCTATTTCTAGGGCACAATGTGAGGATAATGATAATGTGAGGAATGGACAAAAGTGCAAACTGAAAGCAGTATATCAAGGAAGAAAAGAGGCAAAACTGTTTCTAAGTGGCGTTTACAGTGTTACCTTGATTTAAAGCTATTTACTCCCCCTTGCTGAAGTACATGTGAAGACTCTAACCTTTGCAAGCTTATATAGTAGAACTACTTGGATCATAGAAAAGTATCTAAGAACCATATATACTGGTACCTGCAATAGCAAGATGCTTTTGTGACACAACTATGGTAAAATGATGTGTTGCCATTAATGGAATCAGGAGATTATAAGCCATGTTTTCCAACTTACAAATGGCACTAAATAATTGGGAAATATCTATTGCTCAGTGGTTTGCTATGAAATCACATGTACAATGACAACATACCAATCTGCCTGCCCATCTAAGCATTTGTGCCTTGCTTATCACTGTGGTATCCAAGAAACCCATGTTCTAACCATTTGGTCCCCTCTGCCAGCATAGGTGCAGGACAGCATCAGTCTCAATGCAATCAGAGTTCAGGACTGAAAAAGATTTCAAGCTGAAATAATGAACTTCTTGTGTTTTCTCTCATCCTGTACCATAAAATCAGAACGTATTTACCTTCTTTTGTATTAAAGATTCATTGTGTGCCTGGAGGGGATTTTGCAGTTACTTATAATGGAAATGCTAATAGCTTAATATGCTGGTGGAAACCCTCAACAAGAATTCATTAGGCAGAACCATATGCTAGGGTAGAGCTTCCCCATTCTGAGGAGAGCAGTAGGATGTAACTGCTTCAGGCAAGCAGTATGCCAGCCTGAATTCCTCAGCAAATAAGACAAGCATGTCTGCTTCTGTATCTTTGTACAGATATAGACTTCTCCCCTGGCCCAGTTCCAAGGCTAACTCAGAAGGTGGTGAGGTGAGCAAGGCATGGCCCACAGCTCCTCCTTGCCTGCTTTGGAGCATTCTGTGTTCCCATAGGGTACAGTTTCTCTGTGCAAGGACTGCAATTATGACTGGATCTCACAGCCAAAAAAAAAGAAGCTCCAAGGATGTGCCCCTCTGTTTCCTTTTTTGCTCCCACTGTAAACCTATATATAAGGACCAGGCAGAACTTCTCCTTAATGGCAATATGTATTCAGGGAAACAAACAACAACAACGTTTTATAATGATGCAGTGCAGGTGAGCCTTTGCCAATGCTAATGAAGAAAAGCTTCTTCCTGAAAATAGAAAAACCAGGACAGTTCCATTCTATGCTCTTTCTTTAAAGACTGCAGTGATTATTTTCAAGGGGGAGCGGGGGGGAACAGAAATATGCTTTGCTACCAAAGAGTCTAGATAAATGCAGCAGAGCAGAAAATTGCATCCATGTTGTGCTGTGAGGGTGAAACACTTTTATTAAGTATTTGAAAAAATCAGTCTGATTTTCAAAAGCTGTATCTTTGTAGTAACAAGTCTTTGTGTTTACATTCAATTAACTTTAAAAAGACACCATCAGTGTATTCTTCATAATTAGAGGGGGAAAAAAAAAGCTCCTTGCTGCCTTTCCACCTATTCAAACTTAAATCTGTTTCCTCTCCAAATCATCTTTTGTTCTTCCTTCACTTGAATAAATGATTTTGCTATTGTAGGGTTGCTAATGGTTTTTAAGCTATCAACAAGCATTTTATTTATACTGTAATGTAACACTGAACAGATAAATATTTATATGGACAGTCAAAGGAAACAAACTAAAAAGTATTATGGATTCATTTGGCGCTATCAACCTTGACAAATGACATTCTGTATTAAAGGGGATTAGAGTAACATTTTGTAAAGAGTTTCTTGTTTCCCATACATATTTTGTAAAGAGTTTCTTGTTTCCCATACATATTTGAGAGATGAAAGATCATAATACTTGTGTGCTAGTTCTTATATACAATCTTGCACTGGCGTGCAAATTTAGGGCCTCTCTTTATATTACATTTATGTCATGATTAGCATTCTAATCCCAGCATAAATGACAAGGGTGCTAAACATGCACCTAATTTAAGGTACCATAAAATGGTAAACAAGCCATAAGTGTTCCACACAGCATGTAGAATTTTTTAAGGATCGTTTGCATAGTACCTTAAACTGAACATGTAGAATGTCCAGGGCTGCCCCAAAGTAAGTGCTGACAATCAGCTGATACAACCCCTGTTACAGCCAGGTCCCAGTGTGGTCCCAAGGCTGGAGCTGACAATCAGCTGATTGTTGGACCTGGCCCCAGGAAAACCTGGGGTCTCAAACTGATGACCTGGGGTCTCAATCAGTTGATTGTTGGCCCTGGGACAGCCCAGGGTCACACGGGGTTGTGGGCGCTTGGCTTTTATTTTGCCAGGATCATAATCCCAGCCCTACCCCTGCACTGGCAAGTTGTAATGGTGCCACTGGGAACTGATCCCTGATCCCCAAATCACGCCTCCTGCAATTCAACAAGGAGAAATGCAAAGTGCTGCACCTAAGGAGGAAAAATGTCCAGCATACCTACTGCCTAGGAAATGACCTGCTTGGTGGAACGGAAGCAGAAAGGGATCTTGGAGTCCTAGTGGACTCCAAGATGAACATAAGTCGGCAGTGTGACGAAGACATCAGAAAAGCTAATGGCACTTTATCATGCATCAGCAGATGCATGACGAACAGATCCAAGGAGGTGATACTTCCCCTCTATTGGGCGCTGGTCAGACTGCAGTTGGAATACTGTGTGCAGTTTTGGGCGCCACACTTCACGAGGGATGTGGATAACCTGGAGAGGGTCCAGAGAAGGGCCACTCATATGGGAGGAGAGACTGGGGCACCTGGACCTTTTCAGCCTCCGCAAGAGAAGGTTGAGAGGTGACCTTGTGGCTGACTGTAAGTTCATCATGGGGGCACAGAAGGGAATTGGTGAGGTTTTATTCACCAGGGCGCCCCCAGGGGTTACAAGAAATAATGGCCACAAGCTAGCAGAGAGCAGATTTAGATTGGACATTAGGAAGAACTTCTTCACAGTTCGAGTGGCCAAGGTCTGGAACGGGCTATGCAGGGGGTCGGACTCGATGATCTATTGAGGTCTCTTCCGACCCTAACATCTATGAATCTATGAATGTCCATGTGGCATGGAAAGAGGCGCAACTATTGAGATCAGGGATCAGAGCCCGTGTCATTTTTAAATGAACATATACCAGGGGATGTATTCATGTAGTGATCCAACATCAGTGTGCAGAAATGATCGGCAGAGAACATGCACAGGTTTCAGTGAATCTGATTGCTTGTTTGTGTTTGTCCTCTCTGTCAGGTGGGACAGGTAGTATTCAAGGGCATATTCCACTGTAAGGTCTTGATCTTTAATTATAACAACTACAATTCACCTCAATACACAAAAATCTCTTTGAAGACTGGGAGCCTTGATGACCTGCTCAGGTCCCTTCCAACTCTACCAACTATGAAGCTCTCAGACATCCAGTTTATTTGAAGAATCATCCCTTGAAAACACTTTAAATGTATTCAGCTGTAACCAGGGTATAATGAATGGACTAAAGAGGACACTTCTGGAATACAGGAATATTAAATGAATTTGTCATGATCAAAGTGAGTTTGATTAATAATTAATGAATCCAAGGTAATGGGATACTTGAAGTATTTGATTAATAATTAATGAATCCAAGGTAATGAGAGACTTGAAGTCCCTGCCACTTAATTAGCCACCTTACTCACTGTGTTGAACCAGTTGTTCATTATCCTTCTCAGACCTGTGAGGAGCAAGCTGAAAGTCCTCTGTATTCATAAGCACCATGTATTTTTTGGTAGGCAAAAAGGATAGATTTTTTATATAAAATCTACTGTTGTACATTCATGTAATGATATTGTATCAATGTCAATAATAATCTTTGCTCTGGCTATACATTCACACTTTGGTACCCAATTGTTATTTGCATGTACCAACCACATCCAAATGGTATCATTCAAGACACAAAAAATTCTCTCTTCCAGGCTAAAGGGGATCAACTTAGAACTCAGTGTGGGGAAGAAGGCAAGCACTGCATCATGTATAAAGGGATTGGGATGGCTCTAAAGTTTGAAAGCAATGGGGAAAATGTTATTTTTACCTAATTTTAATAGGCAGCTGCTTACTATCTGAAAAAAAGTGCTACCATATCTCTAACATGTCATTGCAGTTAAAGCATATTTATCATATGGAATAATAATCTTACACTTATTAGAACTAACATTATATATTTTTATAGATGGAATTACATGGCAAAGGAAGGCAGACAAGCTTTAAAATTACCTTTCAGGAGTAAGGGCATGAAAGGAATTTTCGGAGATTTCATTTTCTTGAATGCATCTCTGTAGGCTTTGTGATTCAGAGAAGGGTCCTACAAAACCATTTTGATAATAGAAAGAAAAATCAATAGGCTATAAAAAGAGTAAGTCTAAATCCATTAGAGGCTTACGATCAGAAAATGATTTAGATATAACAGGTTTCTTTGGGAAATTATGTAGATAAAGGTTTACTAGGAGGGGTGACTTACTAAACTGAACAAGAAATGTAAACAATGAAGGAAACAGAAATGATTATGTTCCTGTAGATGAAATAGCTCCGAAATGGGAAACAACTGCATGAGAAATTCACCTTTTGACTGCTTTGTAATTTCCTTACATCACTAATACTAGCAGAATCTCTTCAGTTTAATTTCTAGCAAAACACTTAAAAATATACTATTGATGAAAAATCAACCCTTCAAGCAGTACAATATACCCTACATATTTCAAGACAAAATAGGAGAAGGTGGTTTAGCATTCCATGCAATGTAAGTGATTCTAAAACTCCTTTTAATTTATGCTATAAACAAATACTCTGTGCACATTTCAATCTTTATGGTAATTACTGTATAAGGGTGTGTATAGAAGTGCTCTGTACACATTTTATAGCACTGTAATCTAGAGCACTTTTTATAGCATTATAAAGTTAAAGCACTCTTAAACATGACAGAAATGCAGTTGGGGGTGGGGGAAGATGTGGGCTCTGAGCCTCTCTGCACTTTCCAGGCTAGGGAGCAAGCAGTGCTCCATAGAGAAGCAGCTCTGGGTAGACTCCAGTGTACAGAAGTTATTTAAAGCACTGTAGGTTGCTGAAGTGCTGTAAAATACAGTCCTTCAAATTTAATATCTCATTTAAGAAGGGTTAATTTAAAGGTCTGTACCCATTTTTAAAGTGTTGTAAAGCTGTGCACTTCTGTTAAGTCACAGAAATAAAACACTGTAATGGTGAAAAAAGCAACTTCTGTAAACAACCAAGGGCCATGCCCCACGAGTGTGGTGTCAAAAAAAACCCTCTGCTAAAAAAAGCAGTGCGACACACATGGCAGCAGCATATGCTGTCAGAAACCAGAGCCTGGCTGGCCAAAGCCATGCTCTGGCTGCTGGCCAGGCTCTGAGTAATTGGCTCAGTGCTGCTGCTGCCCAGAACCCCAGGTAAGGCTGCTGGGGCCAGCCTAGATGCTAGCCCCAGCCTCCCCTACCCCACCTGGGTCCCTTTGCCACACACTAGAGCATTTGTGCAAGGGCATGCCCGGGGACAAATAGCAGTGGCACAAATATGTGCTGCTGCTGTTTGTCCCGTGGGAGACGTGCGCTCTTGCACATGTGTGCTTGTGGGGACGTGCCCTAGGTGTCTAACCTTGTAATTAGTACGCAAACAAGAAAAAATCATTTAGGGCCAGATGTTGCCACTCTCACATTCAATAGTATCTTACAACATGAATACCCCTTGCAAATAAAAAAAGGTTTAGCTAATGAAGTAGATATTTAGCAGTAGTAAGGACAGCAAAATTAGGCCCTAAACCTTGATTTGTTTTCATTTTTTTCTTGCCTAATCCCTCTGGACACTCTTACATGTGCTCGGGGGGTGAGGGCCACTCTAATTAAAGTGGCACAGCATCTCGTTTATCTGTCCCTGTACTTCAAAATGGCAGTATGGGTGCTTGAACTAAAGCTCATTTAATGAGCTTTAGTTCAAGTGCCCCCACCATTGTTTTGAATTGCAGGGATGCTGATCCACAAGATCCAAGAGGCTGCTGGAGTCCAGTAATTACCACGCTCCGGCAGACTTGATTAATTGAGTCTGCTCTGATGTGCTGTAATTACAGCGCATTGGAGCAGTCCCCACGCTCATGTACAGGCATCCTCTTTGTCTACTAACTACTTCCCTCTATTGACTCTGGTAAGAATGATTATTTGAACACATTTTTCTTAGGTAGGGAAGGACTAGTGATTAGCTAGTTGGCACCGGAATTACTTCCATATTATACTAGACTAGAGGAATTGACAGCACTTTATCTTCTCCTGTGTCAGTTCACAACAGTGTAGGGTGCATTTCAGACCACAGTAGCACTTTGGAGATGCATGTCGTCTATGGCAAATACAATGACAGCCAATTTAATAAGAAAGAAGAAAGCGGGTTCATACCTAGAAAGGTAATATTTTCTGGCACTACCACTGTACTTACTGTCAAACTTTCAAGTTCGGTGAAGAGTTTCTTAAACTTCCCAGGGATTTTCTGCCGTGGGAAAAGAAAAAGAAATTGAGACCAAAGAAAGCAAATACGCATAAAAATGCAGATCTTTTTTCCTGAGATCATCTCATCTGAAGTATCTAATAAAAAATATTAACAGGCCACTTTTCCAGTCAGTTGTCATTCTTTTCTCAATACTAAAATCCCTAATTATGAATAATGTTTAGAGTGATACCAGTGCATTAGATTCAGAAGTCTTGCCTTCTGAGATTCCACTCATTCATGATTCTTTTATGAAAATTGCTTCCTAACATCTGTTTTCATTTTCTTTACTAACTTTCATGTCTGCCCCATTTATCTCAATACATTTGTTCACACAAAAATAACACCACAGGCGAACAATTTAGATCGTCAAGATATCAGATGCAATTTGAATAATTTCAAATAATCACTCTTTTCCTAAAATGTGAACTTACAACCCAACCATACAAATGAAAGACCCTGCTTCTGCTTCTCCTTTTACATATACTGGGAAATTTCAATAACTCCAGTGGTATTAATCCTTTATCTGGGTATAAGAAAGAGGAGAATCAAAATAATTGAGAATACTAGTTTTCCAGCATTACACACTATTTGTTAATGTACTAGTGCTGTATAATTAAAACACACAAAACCCTCTTCATTTTTGTCTTAACTCATGGAAATGTAGGTACTGATGTAACTCACTGAATACAGAGCCCCGAAGTAGTAAAGGCTGACTGGGAATACAGCCACCTATTTCAAAATGCAAGCACATATTTAGCATGGCTTGATTTTTTACAGGTTGCTTGAACTTAGGTTTCTAAACCTGCATGTGTAAGTAATTACGATTAATTTAAAAATATCGCTCTGTTTCCTAGCAGCCAAATTATCAATGCTTATATGCTTTGAGGTTTTGAAATATTCCTCTTCAGTATAATTTTACAAATTATAAAGTTGTATGCAAATAGCTGTGGCTACATATATTTTCCAAAGGAAAATAAAGGTACATATACTTATTTTATGTGATACAGAGGCAGTTTTAATGAAAACAGCTTATCCATTTCTAATCTATGTACAAGTACTGTTCTTGCTCTGGTAACTCACGTTTTGTTCTTAGAAGCTGAAGTTTACCCTAGGTTCAGGAGCTGCACAATTGCCAACGCAGCAGAATGCCACATATTTGAATAAGGAAGGGCTCAAAAATAGGCTGCCAGCGCACCTTTGTTTCAGTGTTATTCCTGCGCCACACCTTATAGTAGTCCCCAGAGAGCAGGATGAAGGCAGACAGATGGGTAGGCAAAAGTATCTTGATGTCAAGTTAGTGGTGCTCAAACTCTGGCCCACAGAGCTCTGTAATTGGACACACAGGTTTCCTCCGAGGCCAGAAATTTAGTGGGAGGAGTGGTGGCAGCATGAATTGCTGATCTCCAGCTGCCAAATTCCCAAACTAGTGGGGAGCCCTGTGGGTCAGACGATGCAGCCTGGCACACTAGACTGCGTTGGTGTGCAGTGGGATGACTGCGTTGGTGTGCATGGGGCATTCTGCATCCAGAGCTGATATACAGAATCTAGCTGGTGTACGAGATGGCACCTGTGGACTGACCCTGTGCATGCATGGGATCTGGCCCACAGACTGGCCCCATGCCACTCATCCAGACCATGGGGCTGGAAGGCTGAGCACCACTGCTCTAAGTAGTAAGGGTAAATTAGCAAATTATGCAGTAGGGATGACTTTAACTTCTCAGAACAGCAAAGACATTTTTTGGAGTAACATCCTCTTTTGTGTAGTCCTTTAGCAGTCCCTTGTACACATATGTGCCACTGGGTGTATTGGTGACAAAATGCCTTCGGTTGGATTTTCATCGCTTTCTGCGATGTTGTCATACATCATGACAATAATCTGTTTTTCTGGAATACCATTCCAGTACACAATCTGGTAACTGTGGCACACATCAGCCTGGTATTTGTAGTTATACCAGCCATTTGACCCTGCTACAATGACAACCTAGTGTTTGCCTCTGTCCCCAATATCTTCCAGGGAAAATGTGCTGATTCCCAGAATACAGTCTACATTTGCTTTCAAAATCATTTTGTGCGCGCTCTGAATGCAGAAACCAGGCCCTGCAAAACGCCCGGCCTCAGGCTCCCCACCTTGCAACCCTCAGGAAACCTGACAGATGCTCAACATTCAGTCTCCTACAACATTCTCACAAGCGAGCTAAGAAAGTACAGTTTGGATGAATGGACTGTAAGGTGCATAGAAAAATGCCTGGATCATTGGGCTTAGAGGGTAGCAGTCAATGGCTCAATGTCTAGTTGGCAGCCGGTATCAAGTGGAGTGCCCCAGGGGTCAGTCCTGGGGCTGGTTTTGTTTAATATTTTCATCAATGACCTGGGAGATGAGATAGAGTGCACCCTCAGCAAGTTTGCAGATGACACTAAGGTGGGAAAAGTAGTGGATACACTGGAGGATAGGGCTAGGATTCAGTGAGACCTTGACAAATTTGAGGATTGGACAAAGAGTAACCTCATGCGGTTCAATAAGGAGAAGTGCAACATCCTGAACTTAGGACGGAACAATCCCATGCACCACTACAGGCTGGGGACTGATTGGCTAAGCAGCAGCTCTGCAGAAAAGGAACTGAGGGTTACAGTGGACAATATGCTGAATATGAGCCAACAGTGTGCCCTTGTTACCAAGAAGGCTAAAGGTATATTGGGCTTCATTAGTAGGAGTTTTGCCAGCATATCAAGGGAAGTGATTCTCTCCCACTATTCAGCACTGGTAAGGCCACATCTGGAGTTCTGTGTCTAGATTGGGCACCCCACTACAGAAAGGATGTGGATACAAGTAGCCTAGATGACCTTCTGAGGTCCCTTCCAATCCTTGTTTTCTATAATTCTATGACTTTCACTACAATTACCCTGAGATTTCCAGATTTCTCTAAATGTTTGGATCCATCAACTGATTTAAAGGCTGTTATGTTCAGTATTTGGACTCATTGATATTTACTTTTTCCTTCTGTGAAATTTTGTATGCGTGGAGATAATTTTGCTCTTAATATTGCTGAGCCCCTTTCAAAGGTTTCAGATTCTGCTGTTTTGATCTGAGGTTATCTTTGATACTAGAATCCATTGTATGTGGTTTATGTCGGTTTCTATTATAAATTCCTTTTTTTTTTTTTTTTTTTGCAATATTGCTGGCTTTTTTACTGTTTTCCCCACATTTTTTATTAAAAAAAAATAGTTATCACTTCCCTGAATTGGGGATCATCAGCAAATTCTGCAGGTATCACCACCCTGTAATTTATTTGGATACAAAAGCAGATGTATAAACACAGACCCCAGTGGGACCCTACTCTTAATATCATCTCTTCCCTGGGGAAACAATTAACAGTTAATCTCTGTCCTCTAATAAGTTATTCATGCCCCTTTTCCTAACCTCTTTGTTCAAAATCAAAAACTGAACAAGAATATATTTAGTGTAATGTACAACTATGTCTTTTATTTTATAATTTTTTTAATAATTTTTTTTATATGCAACAAGTTTTCTTTGGAGATTATTCATTGTTTAAATTTAAAGTAGCCTTTTCCACCTTATTGCAGAACTGGCCTGTTAACCAGTTCTGCTTTGACACCTTTTAAAATTCTAGGATGACTCACTGATCTTGGAGACCTCTTTTATCTTCCTCTCTATCATCAAGACGAAGTCATACCTGACTAACCTGATTTCCTTCTATGATAAGGTAACATACTCTGAGAATGGGGGAGAACAATGGATATGATATATTTTGCCTTTAGCAAGGCCTTTGACACTGCCTACAACATTCTCATTCCCTATGGAAATACAGACTAGTTGAAAGTACTATACGGTAGATACATAACTGGTTAGATCATTGTACTTAATAAGTAGCCATCAATGGCTCAATGTCTAGTTGGAAGGAGGTATCAAGTAAGGTTTCTTAGGGGTCTGTGTAGGGCCCAGTATCATTTAACATCTGCATTAATGATTTGGATGATGGGATTAAGTGCATGTGTAGCAAATTTGCAGACAACACCAAGTTGGATGGAGTTGCAGACACTCTAGAAGGTACGGCTAGGATCCAGAAAGTCCTGGATAGACTGGATAAATAGTCGTTAATCAATCAGATGAGATTCAACAAGGGCAAATGCAAAGGCATACACTTGGGATGGAATAACTGCATGCACAAACACAGGGGAATGAATGGCCAGGCTGCAGTACTGCAGAGAAGGATCTGGAGAATACAGTGGAATAAGCTGAATATGAGCAACAGTGTGCTCTTGTTACAAAAAACCCCAACAGCATACTGGGTTGTATAAATAAGAGTACCACTTGCAAATTAAACAAAGTGATTCTTTAACTCTATTTGGCACTAGGCAAGGCCTCATCTGGAGTACTGTGTCCAGTGTTGGGTCCCACACTTCAAGAAGCACATGGACAGATTGGAAAGAGTCCAGCACCGAGTAACAACAATGATCAGGACCCTTGGAGGTAAGACTTATGAGAAAAGGCTAAAGGAATTAAGGTTCTTTACTCTGGAGAAGAGAAGACTGAGGAAGATTGATAACAGTCTTCAAATACCTGAAGGGTGACTACAGAGAGGATGGACATGAGTTTTCTCTGTGGTCATAGGGAACGGGCTAGGATCAATGCCCTCAAGCTTCACCAGGGGAAATGTGGGTTGTAGATTAAGAGGAATTTTCTGACTATGAGGGTGGTCAAGCATTACAATAGGTCACCTAGAAAAATTGTGAAATCTCCATCCTTGGACATTTTCAAAAGCAGGTTAGACAAACACTTGGCTGCGATAGTTTAGTCAGGAATGATTGTACCTCAAGCAGGGGGTCTGGACTAGATGACCTCAAGAGGTTCCCTCAAACTAGATGACCTCAAGAGGTTCCCTCCTAGCCCGACTTTCCTATAATCCTATGATCTTCTTTAAAACTTATTTATAACTTTTTCAAGGCTTAGTTTAAATCCATTCAACTTCCTAGGTGGTAGAACTTTACATATCATGCCAAAGCCTGTATGCTGATTTCCTCTTTCCATTTGATTTCATCATGGAAAATAAATATTTTTAAAAAAAAGAAGATATCACCATTTTTTTTTGTGTAATATAGAGTTTTGACAAGATCTGAAGGGTGCAGAGATATAGCTTACCTCCCAAGTCTGAGACAGTCGGCTGACAGATGCAGTGTTGAGACCCATAACAATGGCAAAGAATGAGTTCAAATTTCTTTGAGCTTTGCAGCTATAAACAAAAATAGAGACATTTTGATTACGGTCCTCCACATAATAGATTATTAGAAGTAGCCTAAGTTATCAAGACCAACCCCCCTGCACTAATGCAAGATTGGCTTCTACACTAAACCTGTTAAATGTCCAATTTTGAATGCTTCTAATCCAGGTAGGGGTGTCTCTAAGTAAATGCTTACAGTAAACATTTCATTGTCTAATCAACCTTATTATTAGGATGTTATTTTTCTCCCTTGCTGTCAAAACCTCATTTTCCATTTTCAGTGCTTATTTTTTAATATAAATTGTTAGTTGTCCTTTGGAGTCCCCTGTGGTTCAAATCCTTGTGTACCACACAGGAGACCTAGGTTCAGTTCCCAGACACTTACGCAACTACAGCCATGGAGGCACCAAACATCGGGACTCAGTCTGCTTTTTGGATTCTGCCTCAGTGGCCTAAAGGAAGAATGGAAGGTTTGGGCAGCCTCCACTCCTCCAAAAAAAATCTTGCTCAGGCATATGCATTAAAGGTCTGAGTGGCCCTCGTGCATACACCATGATCCAGGAGGATCAATGGTTGACATTAGTTGTCCTTTACACACAAAATAATTCTTTGCCCTTTATTGTAGTGGTTCTAAACATTTTTAGGCTCAAGGTACCCCTGATAAGCTCAAGATACCCATCAAAAAATCCCAGCTCTTAGTTTGCATTTGTTTTTTTGACTACAGGAAACTAATAGAACTCAAGAAAGATGGCAATTGGACAGAATATTTTTACCACTACGGTTCCTTTTTTAAATCTGTTTTTTATCTTGTGAATCATGTCTGCACACCTAACAGTGCTAACAATGCATGGCACCCTTAAAAGATATCTAGACATGGAATAATGTGTGCAAAACTCCAATTCTGCCCTTAATTTGGCCACATCTGTGAGGTTACTACCCTATATATGGAGACAGTAGCTGCTTACTTTATCTTTCTATAAACTGGAAGTGCATTTATTTGCAATACTATCACATTTTGACCTTGTCTTTAATTTATCGTCTGTTATCACGTAAGGACCTCTTCCAAGATATTGCTCCTTAACAAACAATCTCTCATTTATTTATTTGATATTAGTATTCCCTAGGGGTATTACTTTGCATTTATCTAAATTAAATCTTTCCCCATTGTTATTTGCACATACCCTTCAACTCTTTAGATCATTCTGTATCCTCTTTTTACCCTCCAATGGTTTGCAATCTCTCATTATTTGTTATTGTCCACTAATTTGATTAACATTCAATATTCTCCTAAATTAATTATTAGGTTGTAGAGGCCCCAATACCTATCCCTGTAGAATTGTGCTTAATACCTCTGTAGTTCAAGCTTTATTATGAATTACCTGTTTGCCTTCAGACCACAGGCAAATTTTTAATCACATACTAAAGTAGGCTCTCCAAACAATATCATTTCATCTCCTCAAGCAGACTGTCAGGCAAGACTGTATCTAAATCTGACTATGAAAATAGGTATAGTGGGATCCTGTTTAAATTAACTTAAGTACATTATTAGTCCCTTTGTTTTCATTGGGACAAGTCTTCAGAGTAAAGTATGTGGCAAGTATCTGCATAATACAGGTCTTATATACTGTGAGTTCTTCCTGGCAGGAGCTGTCTCCTGCTATAGTTTTGTGCAAGCCTTCCATTGATTTCAAAGAGACTTAGATCAGGCACTATGACCACTTACCAAACTAGTAACTACTATCATGATCTATTCTTTCCAAACCTCTACTTACTTATCTCTATCATCATCAACATTTCACTGGTAAGTACATACAGATTTATTTCCTCAAGCAAATACTTGATATCTATATTAGACTCTCTGATCAATACTTCTCTATATTCTGTCTATTCTCCTTAAAGACTGCTTTTACAGCTCCCCTGTATTGCCAGAATAATGGTTCCTTATATCTTTGTTAACATTACTTTTTGCCTATAATTTCTAGTTTATAAAAGCAAAGAAATCAGTGTTCTGACATCTCACACACTACTATCTGCACTGTTGTCATTAAAGTAAAATCCATCAATATATTTCAGGTGTTTTCTGGGAGACTTAAGTGAAGCACATAAGCACCAAATATAGGGCAATATGCCGTAGCCCTGTGTTTACCCAGCTAGAGCTGAGGGAGCTGTTGGGTCAGATTCTCTGCTGTGTTCAGCATCTGAGAACAGAATAGGGGCAGACAGAGAGCTGGTTATAGCTCCTTAAGTCTCTGCCACAATTAGAATTAGAGCAGTCTGGGCATGCTCTGAGTTGAATCAGCCAGTTAGAGAGAGTACAGTGCTCCAGCCACTACCTTCTCCAACCCCAACATTTGTTCTGAAGTCAATTAGATACAATAATGCCATTTTTAGAAAAATCACTTTTCTTATAAAAACAGCCCTTGAATGAGAGATAAGCTCACCTAAATCTGAATTTATATCTTGGTGCTCAGAAGCATTGATAATGAAGAGACAGATGCCCAATTCTATTTCCCAACCCATTATATTTGGTTTCTATAGCTTTACATTCTTATTCTCCTAAAGCAGATGGAATTAACTCAAGACACAGCAACCTTTTCTCCTGGAGGCAATTATATCCTATTCATGTGAAATAGCTACAAAACTTTTCTAGGAATGCAAATTAGTGCTATTGTGGAAGCCAGTGAACCACATGAAATCAATCCTTTCTGACATAATCACACCAAACTTGTAACTTATAGTTTCATAGTTTCAGGGTCGGAAGGGACCTAATAGATCTTCTAGCCCGACCCCCCTGATAAGCCTGGAAATGAATGTGTTGCTGGATTACTTGAATAACTTGCAAAGCAAAACAAATTGTGAGCAGCATTATATTAGATTATCAGAATACACTTCAACAAAGACATTGGTTCAGTGTAAAATGGTCCACTGTTATATTACTGGCTCTCATGGAACAAATTAAATTAACTCATTTGCTGATGAGAAAGATGTAAGAACAAACTATACATTTTTCATGAACATGAGTACTGAAATACTGCAATGACCAAAAAAGTAGTGGGATACAGGCAAGAAGAATGGTTGCATTTGTTTAAACTGTTTCATGCCTGCATTGGCTACTAAAAAAGAAGTGATTATAAAAAGATTAAGTCTTTGTGTATAGTACATATTTGTTTTCTCTTTCACAGACATACACTAAAGGCCAGTACTGTCAATAGTGGAACAGGAATGGATTGTACAGTATTCTAACTTAAGGTTGACGTCTATGACTGAAACTATGAAGAAGTAATTTTAATATAAAGCATGTTCAACAAGATTAGATGGTGAAATAGCTTAAGGCAACTAGTCTTTCATCTCTTGAGACCTAAGGTTAAGATCAAAATTGAAAATGAGCTTGGATCACTAACCCTGATGAGCAACAACACAACTTGTAAAATAATTTGGTAAAGTTGGCTGTCTCTGCTGAGGAGAGATCTAGGTTGCAACAGC